GTATCCCCAACTTCGTGTATATGGATCAAACCCCTGCTACCCTGGTGAACAGCAGGTAAACTGGTAACCGGACATTCCGGTAGAATATGCAATTTCATAAGTTTCATCCATCCCCAATAATCATCTCATCTACGAAGAATCCATAATCATCTACAATAACCACCAATGATTTTTTCTTGGGTCTATATCAGTTTTTTGGCACAAAAAAACAATTTCATACAATTTCATCCCCGTACATATTCCCATAAAATGAGGAATCCCATTGGAGATCTCTTTAAGATCCATTATTGTCCTTCAGGAAAACAGAAGGGGCCAATCTGGCATACCATTTGTTATATATATAAATATGTGTAATATACAAATGTAAATATGTGTAGTTATACATATATATATATAAGGATTGTTTTTATTTCGGGGGAACCATCTTTTTTCATCGGCCAGCCAGTGGGTTCCCATTGCATCCTTATTTCAGCATCATTTGGATACATCCATTATTATCCCCATTAAACCATTTATAAAACTGTATTTAATGGCAGTTGGACATCATCAGAAATCAATAAATGAAAAAAAATCGTTATTATATTCCTATGATATCCTTATTCATTGGTAAAATGCCATATATCCCCATCATATCCCCATTATATCCCCATTCTATCCCCATTATATACCATATAGCTGGTGAATGCAAAAACAACTCGTAAATGGATGTTCATCAACCAAAAAATAATGTGATAGATTTTGATCCATCCCCATATTCCTATTACATATATATATATATCTGTATATGTATATGTATATGTATACAGACATATATATATATATATCCTTTATATCCCCATTACACCCCCACTATATATATATATATCTCTCTCTCTCTCTCTCGAGAGTCTGCGAGAGGAGAAAAGCGAAAGGATAGAGAGAAACAAAAAATAAACAGAGAGGCGAAAAGAAAACGAGACGAGGAAGTAAAAGGAGAGAAGAAACAATAAGAGAAAGAGAAAGCGAAAAGAGAAAGCAGTACAGAGAAAGAGACGAGAGACGGAGAAGGAGAGAGAAAGAGAACGCATCAAGAAAGAGAGAGAGAGCACGAGAGAGAGCGAGAGATAAAAGTGCGGCCAGGGAGGAACTGAGCGCGATGATAGTCTCTCTATCTGTCGATCTCTCCACCCCCTCTCTCTCTGATCTCTCTCCCTGAGTCTCTCTATCTTCCTCAATATACGGATCTATGCTCTCTCCCTCGCTCTCTCTCTCTCTCTCTCTCTCCCCCTCTCTCTCTCTTAATATTCCATTCACTCACCATTTCTCATGGTAAAACCACCATTTTCCCATGGTATCAATGATATCCCTATGAAACGACCGGCCTTCCGTCAACAACTGGCGCCAAGAAACGACGGTCGCTGCACCTGTCTGACCTGCGGCGTCCCCACTCTCCATGTCGAAATCCATGTGTTATTAACGGACAGTCCCAGGAGATGTATACGTTAATGATATCACATATAATCAAATCGAAACAATATACATATATATATATATATATACAAAGATACAAATCTACATATATACAAATATACATACATATACATATGTACATATATATATATAAATACAAATATATATATATATATATACGCACATAAATACAAATAACATGTTTAACACATTGTACCAGATAGTGCCCCGCACGCGCCGGGGTGGAAGTTTCGGAAATAGGACATGTCTATAGGAAGAAGATGGCCCATAGGAAAGTCTTCGACATGCAGAAACAGCGAAGTGTTGAAGTTGTGAGATGGATGCATCAACGACTGAGCAAATGGCTGTTGAGATGCCAATGAAATGACATGAAAAAATCCAGGCGCAGCTGACTGAATGAATCAATGAATTGTTGAAGGAACGAAGCAATCAAACAATGATTCAGACGATGAATCAGCCAATCAATGAAACAACGAACCGGTGAATCAATGAAGCAACGAAGCAATGAATCAGTGGATGAGCGAAGTAGTGAGTCGATCCCCGTTTGAATTCCTCCTATGTGGCCGGGACCCGCCATTTTGAAGGCACAGTTTTTGTTCCAAACCTCAGCATCTATAAATTGATTGGAAAGTTTCGGAAAATGACCGCATGTTGCCACTACAAAACCGCAATGTGCTGCAACGCTGCCGAAAGAGTCCGCAGGCCAGCTTCGCTCAGATGACAGCCATCGATGACAACCATCACCACCGTAGCATTCATGCCCTTCACAGAGCACACAAGGATCACATGTGTATATTGCTCATCCAATGTGGCGCGGGACAAAATGCCACGCGCCTTTTCAAAGAAGTCGCCAAAAATATCACTAAAATGTGTCGCTTGGCTTTTCAAAACAGTTGCCCAAAAACCACTAAAAAGATCTAAAAAGTGCTGAATGGTAATGCGTTGCTTTAAAATGGCGGATGAGATTGGGCTTAAAACATCTTGTTGCATGAAGGGCAGCTTTCCTTTCTACAAAATGAGTTTGGGTGGCTGTCTGAAAGGCAACTTTCCTTGCTACAAAATTATTTTCGATTTTCAATCAGGTTCCAGCCACCCAACCACTGAAATCTTACAAGATGCACTTCCCCACCAATTTCTACAAAATGAAGGGCCCAGCCCCGTTGTAGTGGGTTGTTTTTTCTGAAAACCAACGTTCGTACATGGCAAAAGGGCTCCCATTTTGGGGATGTGAGTCGGGGAATCAATGAACCGAATGAATGAAGCAACGAAGTAAAGAATCAATGATTCAACGAATAAATGAAGCAATGAACCAGTGAACCAACCAATCAATCAATTCATGAATCAGTGAATCGACGGATCACTGAATCAGTGAGTCAATGCATCAGTGAATGAATGAATCAATGAACCAGTAAACCAACGAATCATTGAACCAATGAACAACTGAACCAATGAATTAATGAATCAGTGCATCAATGAATCAGTGAATCAACGAAGCGATGGACCAATGGTTTAATGAATCAAGGAACCAAGGAATCAATGAATGAATGAATGAATCAATGAACCAAAGAATCAGTGATTAAACAAATGAACAAACAAATGGATTGAACGATGGGTCGATGGATGGATAGATGAGTGAGCTGCTTTTCTGTGTTGAGCTACTTCTTCACTGAGCGACCTCTTTGCGGAGGCAAATCCCAGCTACTTCTGCTCTGAGCTGCCTCCCAGCTAGCTCTTTCTGTAGCTTCTGCAGCCAAATTCTTCTCTTCGCGCAGCTGTTGCAATGCGTTTAGCAACCTCCAGCTACAATCCTGCTTGCGAAGAGCCTCGCAGCATCACTCCTGCTTTGCTGCGCGCAGCCGTGCCAATGCATTTTGTCACAGCCGGTTCCAAACCTCTATAGCAGGAGCTCTCGCTACAGTCTCGTGCACTTTTTTGTCGACATCGAGCCACTCGCGCCCGAGAGTGTTTTCACCTGTGTATTCACACGTGCCCGAATTGTTCCTCTCCTCAGGGTTGTTTGCAATAGCTGCGCTAGCCAGCTTATTGCAAAAAGATGTACAGTAGCATCGTTAGAATGTCATTCTGCTCTCAAGTGAGCCATCAGCAACACTCCCAAAAACCAAAGGCACCTGCCATCTGCAACAGCTCCAAGGTGATGGGCCACCTGGGTCAATCTGATCCATGTTGCGATCGCTGAAACCTTTGACTTTGGACCCTTGGTGGTGCACAACATGAAATGAGATGAAAGTGGATAAGATTCGGTGAGTTGAGATGAGAAGAGCTGAGATGAGTTCAGATGAAATGAGACGAGATGGAACGTGACAAGATATGTCTGAGGAGTGAGCTGTCAACAGATTGTTGCTAGGCTATAAGCGTTTCATTTTTGAAACTGTCGCCCCTGGGGCAAGCCGGGGCCGCCACACACTGGCCCTGTTGCAGGCAGTCATAGTGGCCTCGGCTTGACGCCGATATGGGACGATATCCAGACCCGACACGGTGTCATCATGGCTGGGAAATCCCAGAACAGAATAGAGGTCTAAAAATGGGAAAATCACCGAAACATGGGACATTTTCTGCCAAGATCCATGTTTGCTTAGACAAAAGCCTGTACCGGTCATCGCACAGTTGGAGATATATTGAGTATATACACATATCACAGATATATATATATATAATACATAAATTGAATTTTCCCATGTTGGAGTGAAGTTGATAATCCAAGCTCTAATTTCTGTGTAGGGTACATTGAGGAATTACCCTTCGACCCAGCTACTGTGCCAAACATCATTTTCTTTTCACCATCCCAAATTCGCACAATCTTCAGGAGGCACAGTGAAATTTGTAATGAATCATTTGTCACACAAGTAAACAAGGAACCCCAACAATAACAGTGTCCTTAGTAAAGGAACAAATCCGTTGGCTTTTGCCTAAACATAACACCACCAAATTTGATGCTTACTTAATCATCGCATCTTCTACCCTAACATGGTGCAAAACCCCCAACAATGGGAATTTTAAAGGGAAATTCACATGTATGTTGTCTTTTCCATTCCAAAAGGCCATGTTTGATTGCCAGAGGCTATATGTCCCATTCTACTCCCATTCATCTCCATTAAATCACCATATCTAATGCAACAATCACTATTGTTCATGGCTAATCCACCATTTGTTCATGGTTAAAGAACTAATGAGTACAATAGAGCCCAAAAAGATAGACATTGAATTTTTCAATATTGGTGCTAACTATAGCGATTACCCAGTAACCAGTTGGATGAACTCCGATTCTTTTGGGGCTGTAAGATCAGCACCAAGCAGCAGCTGATTCCTGGTTTCAATGCCCATGAAATATGCTCGTCAAGCAAGATTATCATCCCTTAAATAGGATGGAACATCAACCCACCATTTTCTGATAAACCACCGAGCAGCCATCGATCAGCAGTTTGATTGGTTGTACTTGGAGGATCCCATACACAGATGGATAAACTAAACTAACCACTTATGATTGGATGATCCCCAAATATTAATATATATCCCAGAAAATATCATAGTGGATCGCATATCATATGGATATATTATCTTAAGTATGTGAACTATAATATACTATTATAGAACATCATGGATAAGTGGATGTATTATCATAGTTCTAGAGGCTAGATCCCGATTTACGGATATATTACCATGGTTGCCATGATGTCCCTACCTGGTGCTTCATCAAATCCATCCCGTTTCCCGGGGCTCCCAACGCTAAGGGCGACAGCCTCCAGTTGCAGACTGTGACTTTGCGCAGTCAGTGCCTTTGGGCTTTTTGGAGTTTGGGCTTTGAGTGGATTCAGTTGAGGTTGTGGTTATAACAATGGGATTAAAACCCATTGGGATATGGCCTCCATAACTATGAGAATACACAAAAAAAAGTTTTCCGGATTTTCCATGAGACGAATTCCGGAAAACCAACAAACACTTACCCTCTGGTTATTTAACATAGCCATGGTATAGATGGCCCATTTATAGATGGTTTACCTAGCTATAAAATGGTGATTTTCCATGGCTATGTTAGTCATAACCAGAGGGTAATTGTCTTTTTTCACAAGTGAATGTCCCGGATAGGGGATTTCTGTGGGAAGTTTGTGGGCTTCCCTATTTTCAATCATTCCCGTTTAAATTGACGCCTCAAGGAACCCCATCATCCGTGAAATCAAAAGGGTTAAGCCACAAAAATCAAGGGCGTCAAGGATTTCTACCTGCAAACTCAGGGATTTACCAAGCAATAAACAATTCTCATCCAGAAACTCTGCAGATTTCAAGGGACTTACACCGTTACACCGCCAGCCGAAGGGATGGATAGTGATGACAACATGACACTATAGATCACTATAGATACACCTAACTAGATAACTAGATATATCCTGAAGATATATCCTAAAAACTATGGATACACCGATACACCTAGAGAATCATGGATATCTTGTTGGTATCTTCTATAGAAAAACTAAAGATACAAAAAACATATCCCCATAGAGAATCATAGATAATCATATCCTCTGGTAATTTGTTACATAGCTATTGAAAATGGTGATAGAAATAGTGGATTTACCCAGCTAGAAAATGGTGGATCTTTCCAGTTCGTTATGTGACAGTTTACCAGAGGGTAAATCACCATTCAATCACCATTACATCTCATTAAAACCCATTAAATCACCATTCAATCACCATTAATGACCATTAATCATCATGAAATCACCAGAAAAGCGACAGAACATCTACAGATAACTGTACCCTCTGGGGGATGATCCCCAAATCAACCATCCGAAAATACGACTTAAACATCGAGCTAGCGCGTTTTGGTCGACTTTTTTTTAAATGTCTATTTTCTATTTCTTACGTATATATATATATATATATGTAATTGATACATATCTATACTTATCTTATATACTCTTTACTGTCTCTTATTCTCGACCCCACAAGGGAAAAGGACATTGGGTCCGGACCGCCAGAGCTTGTTTCCATGCGTGCGACCTCGGGGGCCGGAGCTTTTTGGACTGACAACCGTGGGTTGAAGGCACCACAAAGAAAAAAAACATCCGGATGATCAATGCTTACCATCTGGTAATTTAACATAGCGAACTGGAAAATCACCATATTTAATGGCAAAATCCACTATTCATGGTCATTTTCAATAGCTACGTTAAATTACCAGAGGGTAAAAAAAAAACAACTTTTTGGACACCAGGATATGTTTGGCCGAATTTCCTCACATTTCGAATGGCAGATTTTTGGATGATTGCCCTAATCCTCCCAAGCCGTTATTGTTGGAAAGAGATATCCCATGTTCAAACAAAGCCAACCATTTTTTGTTGGTCCGGTACATTCCATTGAAAATATCCGCACAATTATCCCGTATGTCGGTATAATTCATATGGATATATAGCCATTCAACTGCAATCACTATCTATTGGTCAATAGTTCACATGATGAATTTATCTAAGTTTATCTAACCATTGACTATTAACAACAAAATTATCTAACCATTAACCATTTGTCAAGATTCAGTTGCTAATTTTACTAATCATAAAATCCGTTGATAGTTACTGTGCATCACTGTGGCTTTATCTAACCATCAATCTCAGTAAAATACAACAGTTCACAAACCTGAATCAAGGCTATTTTGGGTTAGTTGCCCCATCCGAACCATTATTCCAGTGTGGTCGCGATGTGAGGTCGTTATAATTCACCCATATATACATATACACACATACATATATATATATATTATCATTAAATATAGTTATATATAATCAAATAAAATCACATATAACTATATAATATAGTTATATATAATCAAATAAATTCATATATAACTACATAATGTGTATATATATATATATATGTACACTTAATGTATGCATAACTGGGCCAATAAGGGCTGAATGACCAACCAAAACATCGAGAAGCTTTGCGCAGCTGCAGCAGTGCGCCCGCAACCTGGGGAACATCGACACCCGGACATGGGCGATTTGCTATCCATGGGGGGGGGTTCAACCAACCAGCAAGGGGGATATGATACATATATGCCACAATAATATATAGGGATATTATATACATATATGTTATATGTATATATAGATATGTATATATGGACATATTTGTATAATATGTCATATTGCAGTACATGCATCGTTATATGTATAGATCTAGTTATGTTATATTACAGTTTCTATTATAATATGTAAATATTATATAATTCGCAACAGGTAACTACAGTTCGAAAGGGCTCCATAGCTACATGGCTACGTTGATTACTGACTTTTGGGTTTATTTTCTCGACACGTTTGGGGAGTAGATCACACATTCAAATGGTCACTGAGCCGGGTATACTCAGTTTCTGGGTAAACCATTTGTCCGTTGAAAGTATGGACAATTTTGCCTCCCACCGCCATTTACGAGGATAGCAATATCCAGCAAAACAGCATGGAAAGTATGGATGAACAAGGTGGAGCATCAGGGCTACACCCGGCATTCCGCTAATCTTTTTCTATCTAAATATGGTGAAAAAAGGAAAGGAATAGGGGTGGAAAGTATATACAAAGTAGAAAACCATGAGTCTTTGGCTGATTGTCATTGATGACTGATCAACAAAAAGGAGAGTGAACATGACAGCCGCAGTTTCAAAGCACATCGAACCAGCCTATCATGGTGCCAAGCTACTCGGTTCACTTGTTCCTGGTACTACACCTCTAGTAAAGACAATACAGTACATTTTGTTTGCCACAACTGGCAGTGTGTCAAAACCTTGTACCCCTGGTGAACATCAAAATAGCTGGTAAATGGATGTTCATCCCCCTAAAAATGTATCTATAGGTATTGATCCATACCCAACTAAGAACATTGCTGCATCATCTGTTTTTATACACACAAATACGTTGACTTCGACAGGAAACATCTGGGAAAAATCGCCAGATTTCCGTCAGAAACAGACACCCATTCTGGTATGATTCCCATCCAAGCCGCTCTGCCAAAGTCCACGCGGTGCTTCCCATGGCAACAGCTACGCAGCTACGCGAAAAACACAATCAACAGATAGCGAAAACCGCTTTTTTAATGGATTTCACGGGAATTTCATGGGATTCTACGGTGATGAGTAGAGATTTAAACAACAAACATGGTGATACTCATGGGGATTAGCTTCTGGTAATTTGACAAGGCTATGGAAGATGGCCCATTGGGGATGATTTAGAATGACTTGATAACCATGGTGATTCTCCATAATCATGTACTGGAGGGTAGGTTTGATGTCCTGACATGGAGGTTGGTTCACCTGGAAGATGAGGATGAGTCTGAGTTTTGATCATGTCTGTGGGTCGACCTTTTTTTCAAAGACCCAAAATTGAAAACTCAACTTTTATACCCTCTGGTTATTTAACATAGCCATGGAAAATCACCATTTTTAATAGGTAAACCATCTAGAAATGGGCCATTTCCCATGGCTATGTTAAATAACCAGAGGGTAATTCAGAATGCTTGGATGCTAAACACATATGACTCATATGACATCGATTTTTCAAGATGCCAGCACTGTATCCTGAAATCACAAGCTGCACTGGAAATGGCAGCCGGAAATGGAGGTGATGTGGGCCCCAAAAACCGGCCCTGGTGGGGTTTGTCTGTATCCAAAATCGTGTGGTTCATGATGATTTTTGTTAATGGCAATGCACCACGGAGCATTAAAGAAACATCGTCATTTTTTCCGGTCTTGACCATGAATGTTTAAGATAGTGAAGTTGGTTCTAACAGTGTTGCTGGTTGTAAGCCCACTATGTCCAAATGGCGGTTTCCTGAAATGGGGGCACATCCATTTTATTTTCGGATTTTCCATTATAAACCATCCATTTTAGGGATCCTCCATGTATGGAAACCCCCAACTATCTCCCAACATTCCATAGTGCCTGGCGATAGACCCTTGGTTGAGTTGATAGGGATTCCGATCCACGGAAGATTACGGAAGATATCTATCGCATGTCCCCTTTTCAAAACAGCGAATAAGCCCAACAACTAACCATCAACCAATCATCATCTATCAGATCAATCAGATATTTGGTAACATCCACCACTAACTATGATCCACTAACCATCCACCACTAACTATGGTCGACATCGCTAGAAACGATGCTAGTTCATGGTCACCAAAAAGCGCCAAACGTCGAGATGTCGCTCCGTCTCGGTGGCGATTTCCCGACGAATCTCGTCGAAACACAAGAAGCGATGGCCAGGCCTAGCAGCACCGTTCGGATCCGTCATGGCTTGGGGAATGGCTAAAAATAACCATAGGATCCATGGGTTTATGACATGTTATAACTATACTAACTATCATCAAAATTCTGGATATATATATATATATTTGCATGGTGAACGGTTACCCACCTATACCCTCTACCTGGTGTCATGTTAAACATGGCAAGCTGGGAAATCCCCGAAGGAAATGGAGCTTTGAATATGGATTTTCCATGGCCAGGTTTGATTACTGGAGAATATTTTGGGGAAATGGTCCTCCATTTTTTTGAAAAAAAATGGGTCCCTCATTCAATGGACAGATCCAAGATTATGAACCAGAATTTTGCTTAGGTGTATTTGATATTTTAGGAAGGGATTTTACTGATGGTTGGGTCTGAGAATAGGGGATTTTTCCTCCACAAAAGCCATGGCGTCAATAGGGACAGTGACCGGATTGGTAACCGAGAAAGTTGGTCGGTTTCCATCAATAGGGTTACCCCAATAGCTGGTTGGTTTATTTCATGGAAAACCCGAAAATGAAATGGATGATTTAGATTGATTTAGGGGCACCCCCATTTCAGGAAACCTCCACATAGGGTTTTTGACCGTTAAAATTAGAGCAGAATTTATCTACAGCCATGAGCAGTAGGAGACTTGCACACCGTGAGAATCAAAGCAAATTGGTTCCTTTTGCTCTTGAAAGGTTTTCCACGAAAAGAAAACAGTGGATTCTTGACTTTATGAAAGTTCTTGGGCTTATTCATAGGGATTCATAGCCAATAAGAACATTAGGATTCTTGACTGGACATGGACATGGATGACTTGGATGACAGTGATTCTTTGCAGACCTCCTTCCAGTCATAGTCTTGGTGTTGTTTTTATTGGAATACACCGAACCTCCTCTCTTTGATCATCTGTAGTACGCTGTACCTATCAGACCTATCACAAATAGACTTGGAAGATTGAAACCAGTCCTGCTAAATTTGTAACATTTGGGTTCTGAAACTTGTTTCACCGTTGGAAATCAAAATCTGTTGTGAAACTAAACAGTATAGCAACCCGCACAAAGATGCAGAGACACTCCAATACCACTACTGGGTCTCATCATTGCTTTGTTTTTATTATTTGTCATGGGGCATTTTCCATATGTTTGTTTACTGCAGAGTAAGTCGAAGCTACAAAACGATGAGCTGACTGTATTATTTGTCAAATTTACAACACGCACATTTTAATTATACCCCTATATTTGTGGGAAAGACAGGTTTCCTGCAAAATTTCAGTTGAACCACTGCATGAAATGAATGGGTTGTCACAATTCCCAATGAGTTAGGTGGTATAGCCCCCTACAATAACCAATCAACCATGGTATAACTTCAATTTCTCACATCTGCCATGGTCAAAATGTGATGTCGGGGGTGTGGCTATCCATCCTATTCCATGTGAACCCAAACATAATGGATATTCCAATGTATGACCATCGCCCAATTAATTGATGTCCGACTAACTTGACCATGGCTCATATGTCAAACAAGTTGCCTATTAATTCCGTTAACGTTCCATTAATATTACATGAAATATAACACTATATCCAGTAAATCCCCGCAAAAACATAACACCACTACAATATACAGGGGTTGGTAAATGTCCTACTTCAACATCACCCAACTATTCTGGCTGACAAATTCACCAAACTGAAAATAACTGCAGTTCATACGGCCATTTGAGGACGATAGTCCCTCCCTCCCAGGACTTTTCTGAGGTTTGGTAAGGTCCCATTTTTTCATCTGTTGGAGATTTTGTCATCTCCCCAATATTTGGGTGCGAAAAAAACATCGGACATCATTTTCCCATCCATTTTCCCCACATTTTCGCCAGATTTCTGTCACCCCTGGGTTTCCAAGGTATTTTCAGCACCCGACAGGTGATCAAACTCGCCAAACTCAGCAGACCTGGGGCGATGCTGCGAAGATATGTATGGTACAGTATATATATATACATACTTATGTGTGAATATGGTATTAAATAAATATATATATATAATATAATATATAATATATATAATATATATATATATAATAATATATATATATATATATAATATATACATACATACAATATTTGACTAAATATTAAATGTTAGTGAAACACCATCATCATATAGGTGGTTTAATATGGTTTTACTAACATTATGCATGTTTACAATATATATAAATATCTTATATAACTTGAAATCTGCCTTGTGGCGCTTTTTGGGTAAACCATGCTTGTTCAGCATGAAGCTTTTGGAATGCCACGACATATACGATACGGGTTTCATGGGATGTAATTAGCTGTAAACCTAGCTATCAAAATCTATCAAACGTGATATGAACAATTCAACCCTAGCTTTGAAGGAACATCAGGCACCGCAGTACCAAGGCAGTACCAAGGCAGTTCTGAAGGATTTTTCATGATCTCATTGGTGATTCGGTCAACGTGGCTGGTTATGGCTGGTTCGCCATCCATGGATCGAGTGCCGGGTGCCCAAACCCATGGATCAGTTGGAGTATCAAGGGCCTGGCTCGGGGAGCTTCACCCAATCGCCCCAGTGAGAGTGGGATTTAACATCGGTTTTTTATATAATTTATATACATGTGTCTATCTATCGATCTATCTATCTATCTATCTATCTTTCTATCTATCAATCTAATCTAATCTAATCTAATCTATCTATCTATCTCTATATATAATATATACATATATATGTACATATATATATATATCCGTATATGTAATATAATAATTAATAAGTGGACTAAGCCTACTTACCTACTCATAACTGGGCTTATAACATGTTATAAGCCACTCACATGTCGGGGTTCACCGCGCCAAAAATTACCATTCCAACAGCTCCAGCTGGACCAGAATGACAGCCCATGTGGAGATTCACGAAGCGAAATTGAAGTAACTGAAATTGAAGTAACTGGGATACAGCTAGTTAATAATAACACCAGTTACCGGCAGAGATCTTTACTCGACTTGGCTAAACATCTTCTGCCGGTTGAACCACTGAAGTTGAATATGACGCGTTTGATTTGAGGTTGTTCTAAACAAGTTAGGCTTCTCTTGTCGAGCCTGTGAAGATCAGGGAAGTTTATTTGTGATTATCAAGCGATATCAAGAGCTATCCTAGGTCTTCAAAACCATCAATGGGAATATCCCCACAATTCATATGGCCTTAATTATATGGTACAGTACCTCCATTTTAGGATCCTGAAATTCCCATGTTTACAAACCACTATAATCCCCATCAACTAGTTCGTTATATCTACCATAAACCATGGTTTTTTCAGACACTTATAATGCAGGTCTTCAAAACCCGGCGATCCCTCAGATCCAGATCGGCAGATCGGCGCCTGCGAGTCACGACACCGCTGCCTGTGGGTAGGAAAACCCGGCCTGCGTCGCTGGTTTACCAGTAGATGGGAAAACTATCCGCTGCTTTTTCGCGCAATACGTATACATCAAATGGAAAATTTGATCGGATTTTAAGCAAACTACGAAATGCTACAAATCGCAGAGACCTTTTGTAAAGTGAGTTTCTTTCCCAAAATCAGAGAGACATCAGGAGTGTCAGATGACCGATTGCATCACCAATCCCTTGCCGGGCCATACGGCGCAGTGCATGACCCTAATCCAATGCTGTTCTTTCGAGGTCAGATTTTGAGTAAAAACATGGCATGTTTAGAGCTGGACAGCGAATCTCTGAGACTTCTTGGCCCATCACTCGAAGGACAGGAATTTGCCAGGTTTATCATTTCCATCATTTTTGGGCCATTTCCAATTCACATTTAACCTGCATATCTCCAAGGTATCTTTCTCATCTGGTTTTCGGGGTCCAACCATCCGATCTCGTACGTCACTATACAACTGCCACAGAAAAACGGAACCGTGACATCTCCAGCAAACATACGACCAAATCACTAAAGATGACTCCCGGATTCCCACATACCCGGCCTGGTAAACTGTCACAAAAAACAATGGAACATCACCATGCGTTTTTCATGGATAAATCCATTATTTCTATGGGCCATTTTCAATGATCCCACGGAAGATAATGGCATCGGCCGGCACCTCTTTAAGAACGGGATTCCCAGTTCGATTATGATAAACTCAATCATCGTTAAAACATGGTATCTCCATTAAATAGCATCTGCCGTCATGAACCATGAATGAGTTATAGATCCACACATATATTTTAGATTGTTTTCATGCTTAAACGCCAATTCCATGACCTTTAAACGTTTAAATATGTGGTTTTTCACAGCCCCAGCTTCGTTCAATGGTGCACCTACCAAGGCTTCCAGCAGCGAGGACTTTCCGACGCTTTGGCCGCCCACCACAGCGATCTGCGGGAGATCAAAGTCCAACTCCAGGCCTGCGTGCCTCGGCGGCTTCGGCGACACGGTTCATGCTTTGGAACTGTCATGTTTGATGCTGAAAAAAGTAGTTTCAATCTCGTTGAGGATATCGACAAAATCGAAGACCATCATTTTCTGCATAAGAATCTACACTGTACACATACCAATTCAAGAAATTGATTTTTTTCGGCACTTTTTGGGAGATTTTCCCCAAAAATGGACGACCCTAAAAATTCGACCAAGTGGCTGCACTGCGCCACGGATCTGGCTGATGATGGGAATCAATTTCTCCATCGGCACCTGAAGCGGCTCGGGATGGTCATTATGGTGATTCCAGCCGGCTCAAAGTATTCAGATAAATAAATCAATAAACCAATAAATAGACGAATATACCGATCTGTAACTATAGACATATATACACATATGTATATATATATATATGTATATATATATATGTATATATGTATATGTATATATATATATCTATCTCATATACTATATATGTATATATATATATGTATAATTAATATCATGCACAAATGTATGAACCCTCAAAGCAGCTGGGGCACCTTTTATCCGTCTTGAGCCAAAACATATCGTTAGGCGGATATAGGTCTACACATGTTATGTAGGAACCCATACCTAAACACCCCTCCTAAGTTCATGCCTTTAGCATAGAACTTCAAGCTACAAGCTGTTTCGCCTGTCTGTTCCTACCTTCTACAGACACCTGCCCCATGCGATTCATGTGGCACCATGCAGCGTCAGAAGGAAGTGGCTTCGTACACAGGTCAGACAAATTCTGATGTGTACCCACCGGCTCGACCTTCAGAGTTTTGGTCGACACTTTCTCCTGGATCCACAGGAACCTAGTCTGCACGTGTCTTGTTTTACCAAGACCCCTCCTCGACACGATTCCTCTTGCCGCCGAACTGTCGCTCAGCAGAACCAGTTCTGTGTCGATTTTCCACTCGTCAAGCATTGCCTTTAAACCCAATCCTACTGACCCTGCTTTCACCAAAGCGTAGAATTCCGACTCTCCACTGCTGAGGGATACAGTGCTCTGCAGGTTACTACTGTGCTTCACACAGCATGAACCCAACATACACACGATCCCGGTTGTGCTGCGACGGGTCTTCAAGTCGCCAGCGTGATCTGAATCACAAAACACTCGGATGGTGTTGAACATCTTCTGGGGTCGAAACTTCGATACCACTCGCATGTGACCGGACAGATAACGTCCAAGGCGCTTGAGCTTTCCCCAAGCATATTCGGTAGGATGTTGCATGTGCCGAGCAAGTGACTTCGTTGCTTCAGCCAAATCGGCACGATCCATTGACAGGTAAGCAGCTCGCATTGTAAGAGACCTGTATTGTGAAACTTGTTCTGGTTCCAAATCGGGCTGTTCTTCAGCCGCGATAACATCTTGTATTTTCTGCTTTTCCGCCGGTGTACTAACCGGTTTGCAACCTTCCAAGTTTAGGGCTTTCACAATGTATTCAGCATGGCGTGGATCTGCTTCATAGTCCAACACGCCAGTCGTCTTGTCATAGCTGATCACTCTATTGAGTACGCACATTGACGTACCATCTCCTCGTTCTGGACCAATCAAGCCGTCCACACGATATTCAAATTTCTTCTTTAAGCATTCTTCGAGGTACTTCAAAGCTTCATCGTCACCAAGGCAAATGAAGTCATCACCATGAACGATGAAACGCAAGTCCATTTCATCATGGATGAACAGTGCCGGCCATGCTTTGCACTGTCTGAAGTTGTTCTCCGTCAGCAACTGCACGTACGTAGATTGCCAGATGTTGGCAGCATCCAACGTCCCGTACATTGAGCGTTTGAGGAGCGCGCAAGCTCCCTCTTGTTCACTGCCTTCTGGAAGAGTACAGAAAACCCTCCTTTTGGATTCTCCGTAAAAGTGCGCCCTGGAGATGTCTATCAGCATCATTTTGTAGGGCCTGTTCCTTTTGCTGGTGCGCTTTGACACCATCAACGCACAAAGCGCTTTGAGAGATTCCAGCGGAGGCATTGCACTAAAGCTTTCGAACTCCGCCAGTGATTTCGATGCCTTCTTTACTTCCCGAACCACCAAGCGAGATCGATAGTTTGGATGACTGTCGTCACCCTTGTTGCGATCCACCCACTTAAGGGTTATTGGAGGACGGTTGGTCTCCTCCCAGCACATAGTGGTGGGAACAACATCCCATAGCTGTTGCTTCTCCACCCACTTCATCTCTTCCTTTCTGGCTTCCAAAACTTTCACAGGATCCAGTGGCATGCCTGTCACTGAGTCCACATAGTCGCTGACAGTCTCGTCCACGAAGCTTTCGGTTTGGTCATTTGAGGTATCATCGGGTGAGGGACCCGATGTGAGCTCTGCCAAGGTACTGAGTTCGCCTCGAACTCGAAGCTCTCGCCGAATTCCATCCAGAATTGCAGAGACCAGTTTCGGTGGATACGTCTGTGCAGCACGAGCTCTGCCATTGATCAGGTGTACATGCCTGTGTCCACCTTCACATTTTCCTTCGATACACTTTGCCATTTCAGGAGAATTGGTCAGCCAGCAGGTATCCTTCCTGACATATCCCACACCCTGCTGATCCTCAGCGACCATCTCCCACTTGCACATAGGCGACTCCACCTTGTACACTCCAGGCAGGCTTGCCAGGCGCTCGATTTCCGGTTCCTGCCAGCTTGCGCTGGGTTTCGGATGTTCATGCAGAAAGAACCTGCCATGGTTGTGTTGCTCCAAATAGCAGTCCACAGCCACCTTCAAGTGCATTCGACCTTCTTCTAAGATCTGCTGATTCTCTTCATCCGTTCTTTTGTACTTGCTGAGATTCTGAAGTGGACTGAATGGTCCACACGGAGGTGATCCGACAAGGAATAGCGGTTTCTCCTTCTTCAGGAGCCTCCTCAACTCTCGCTGATCTGTGTCCTTTGACAGATCCCAATGGTCTCCTTTCGAGTTCTTGGAAACCATCAAATCAACTGCAAATCCAGGTCGAAGACCGAAAAGGTTAGCCTTCGAAGTGAAACGCTCGGGATTGTAGATCTCGGCCACGTCGCTTTTGCTGATTCCCATGGAGCACAGTAGTTGGCTGATCTCGTAGATCTCTTTCTTGGACTCCAGTCTATGAAACATGTTGGCTTCCAAAACGGAAACCATGTCCGATTGTCCAGATCCTTGACTCTGAGCTGCCGGTGCGTCACTTCCTTGAGCTGGAGGTGCTGGATCGTTAGATCCACGGGCTTCTTCTCTTTCAGCCACCTGAGCTTCTCGATGGCTCTCTTCACCTTCTCTCTTTTGTCCCCTCTTCTCCGGAGACTTCTGCCTCTTGGCTGCCCCTCCTGGGGAAGACCCTTCCTCCTCCAAAGGACGTCTCACCGGGTCCGGTTGGACCAAAGGTCCGACTCGACCCTCGGGTTGTCCAATGGCTGCATCTGCCGCCATCTCGACAGCATCATCTGGGCCATCCCGCAGGACCAACTCGTTCGGCTCCTCCGCGTCTGCTGACGCTTCGCCTTTCCTTTTCTGAGCCTTCAAGACTCGAGCCCGTCCTTCCTCAGTCCGAAGAAGTCTCTGTTGCACCAAGGTTCGACACTCACTACTGTGAGCTCTTGCTGGCAGTCCAACTTGAATCGCATTGCAACCTTCGCATCCAGCTGTATAGTTTCCCTCCACGTCGGCTTTCTTGACATAGAGGTTCCTTGGCAGCGAATCTCGATCCGCTGGGACTGGCATCAGTCGTACGCCAGGCTCAATTGCAGGCATTGCAATCGCTATTGGTGCGTCCAAGTCTTCTGGCTTCTGTGGCCTCATCTTCCACGGAGTGCCACACATCTGATCGAAATCTTCCGTCGACCAGCGTTTCTCCTCCGGCATCCGTTTCACGCTGCCACCCTTGATCACACCATCCTTGGTCATGACCAGTGCGTCGCCATTGCGACCATGGGCCCCCATGAACATGCCTTCCCGCATCGTGTCATAGGGCCCTTCCAGATAGCTCTTCAGAGGCTTGAACCACACTCTTTCACCAAAAGTGACGGATGGTCGTTTCCACCGTCTGCCGCGAGAACGCTCATATGGCGTTCGTCCGTCCTTTCCCACTCTGAAGCGGGAGATCATGAAATCAGCATGACGACCGACCCATGCAAGAATCGGATGCCGATCTCTCACCTGAATTCCCAGCTTTTCTTCCAGGGAACTCTTCATAGCCTTGATCTGCCTTTTGGTTTCTCTAACGGCAACTTCACAAGCGCCGTTTGCCTGCGAGTCTCCCGTCTTTGACTCCTCCAAGACGATCTCAACCGTCTTGATGCCTTTCTTCACAGCCTCCTTGAGGGATTTGATCGAATTCTCATTGTCCGACTTCAGCACCAGTCTCCTGTACCCTGACTCCTCAAGGCACTGGATGACGAAGTTCACCGCGTAGTTGTCTGCGCCCTTGGCTGGAACCACGCTGCACCACATGTAACCAGTGTACTCGTCTTTAACCTGCAACGAAGGCAATTCGCCTTCAGGCTCCACTTCCGGCCGATTCTTCGAATCCCTGCCCATCCAAAAGTAGTCCATTGAAATGATGGGCAAACCACGTTCATCTTTTCCTTGTTCAGGTTCGCTAGGATGCCGCTCATGCAGTCCACGAGCGCGCATACAGTGGCCACACCAGGTCCTATGGATGGTGTGCCCTGTTGCTTCGTGCTCTTCGATTTCCTCCTTTGTTGGTGAAACCGGCGATCGAAGCAGCTTTGGCTTTCGACCGCTCTCCTCATCTTGCATTTCTTCTGGACTTACGGATTCACCTGCCTGGTGAAACCCTCGTCCATTGCTCCAAGATTCTTGCCAAAATGGCCTGACTCGTTGCCATTGACCGAGCCATTCAACCAAAGATCGAAGACAAAGATGCCCTTCTGCTCATAGAGTTGCGTAACTTGTTGGGCTTCCCCAGGGTGCTTCTTCACCAGGTCGTCATACACAGCACGGAGTCCTTGAGCAATCTTGCCATTCTTTGGGATGATGACGCCCTTGCCATCCATGAGCATTACCACATTCTTCTTTGAGACTGCGGTGCCACTCGCCAGCATTCGATGGACATCAATCAACCGACCTTCAACACTTTTGCCAATGCCATTGTTGTCGTACCCTTTGACGACGACGCCTCCACTGTCGGAGAGAAGTTCACCAGAGGCTGTCTTATATGAGGCATTGTTCGGATTCTCATCGCCCTGAATCAATCCAGACTTTTCCAACTCGAGGGGCACTGCCGTGACTGCAGCGCCAGTGTCGAAGTTCACCACCAACTTCGTCCATTGCTCAGAACTTCCATGGCAACTGTTCCAACCGCCTTCAAAAGAATTGATCTCCTGCACCTTGCCAAAGGTCTTGACCACCACGTCGTTGCGTCTCTTGATGAATCCAATTTCACGATCAACCTCAGAGTGGCCCATATTGCATCGTGCTCCTCGTCGACAAAACGATCGTTTGAAGTCACTGCACATCATGCCACCCTTGGGATGCTGCAGATAGAAAGCATCTTCATTCTTTGCCTTCCTTCTGCGAGCTCTGGCAGTTTTGACCCGAAAGGATCTTGCCAACTTCTTGGACTCAGTCATTGTCCGTTGACGTTTCTTGTGGATGTCGACCCGTTGTCTGCTCATGACACGCTGTTCATCAGCGCGTGTCTCAGTCTTGAACTTGGCGACTTCATCTTGGGTCAATTTCCGGTATGACCTCGACGACTTGACAAAGACACCAGCGTCCTTCCGCTTGAGATGTCCTCGACGAACCAACTTTGGCTTTCCACTCAATATTCGGATCTTGTCCTCCTCGACGACCACTGCCTCTGTCTCGATGCCTCCTAAAGTTTCGTCGTGGTACTCCTCATCCTTGACCTTCTTGCTGTCGAACTCCTTGTGCCAAGCTTCATCCAAACGTAGCTTCTCCTCAGCGCGTTCCTTGCCTCCAGATCGTCGATGAAGAGTTGCCTTGCGCCGCTTCTTCTCCTCGAACCAAGCCTTTGAGTGAGAGACGCCAGCCTTCAGCGCAGCATGATATCGAGCGTCATGCCAGCTTTGATCGTTCACTGTTGCCTCAGTGAGCTTGAAGCTTCCTTGGGCCTTCTTTTCCTTTGCCTTCTTGTCGTTCTCGCGGATCTTCTCTTTGAGCTCGTTCTTGCGAGCATCAATCTCTGCGATGCGTTTCTCAATCCGCTTGTACTCGTCCTCGTCGTCGCATTCTTCAAGTTCCTGGACTTTCTCGCGTTTCTCCGCGTCTAAGTTGGAAACTTCCAAGAGCTCCACGGTTCGATGCATCGCTTGGGTTGACGAAGTTCCGATGGGTCGAGACGGCGTTGGGAGCTCGGCCGATCCAGAGGATCGACTCGGCTCTTCCGTCTCTGGAGCCGACCGAAGACCAAAGGTCCGGTTCGCTCCTTCCATCAGCAACTTCGAAACCCTTTCGAGGAAGCCGATTCTAAGATCATTGCGATGATGTTCGACCAGCTTCAGAGACTCCGCATTGGATTCCCGGCTCAACGACAAGGGGTCGTGCTTGTCTCTCAACTCCTTCTTCTCATCCTCTCTCAAACCATTGAAGTGGTCGATGGTGATGCCTTTGAAAAGACAGATTGTCTTGTCCAGGACATAGTGGAACTTCTCAGGCTTGAGGATCTTGAGATAGTCACGAACTGACTTCTTCTCAGGCTTGTCCTTGGAGGATTCTTCAACTAGGCGTTCACGTTCCAAACCACAGACTCCACACTCGTGGTCATGGTGCTTCTCATTGGAGTTCCTCTGACACCTGAAGTGAAAGCAAACGTCACACGGCTCAGCGCAAGTCGAATCCTCGGACTTGACCATCACGTACTTGTCACCTTCGGGACGAACAGTCACAAAAGTTGAAGAGCTGCTCGGTTCAGCATCATCCTCCATCTTGACGTCGTCCTCGCTCCATTCCTCCAGCATGGCAATGCTGAGGAATCCAGTGTCCAAAGGTTCGGCTTGAGGCTCTTCTTCAAGGTTTCCAACACCCTTCGATTTTCCACCTGACTTCGCCTTGGCCTTGGGCTGTTGATTCTTGTTGGCAGCACCTCCACCGGCCGCCCAACAATCCTTCTTGAGGTGTCCGATCTTGTTGCAATTGTGGCAAACTCGGGTCTCTTTGGATCCACTACCGGACCCTTTGCCCTTGTTGTCGGTCTGTCCGGATCCTTTGCCGGACTTGCCTTTCGGAGAACCTTTCTTGCAATCTCCTTTGCCTTTCTTGCCTTTGCCCTTCTTACCTCCTTTTGAGAAAGAGCCCACGTCCATTGGGTCACCACCAGAAGCTGAATGCGCACCAGATGCATCTCCAAGCTTCAGTCGGTGTCCAAGTCTCGTTTCCAAGAACATCACCAACTCCGCCCTGACATCAGCGTAGTCGCTGTAGCGACTGCGATTCAGTTGTAGGTGTCGTTCTATCTCTACGGGGCATAATTGCTCAAGGATCGACACCTTGATCTCGGAGTCCAACTGTTGCCGGGTGCCATCAGATCGTCTTCGCTGCTCGTATTGACGAACATTTTCTTCCCAAGTCTCCACTGCCGCCCACAGATGATCCAACTTCGTGCATTTCTGTGGTGACAGGATTGCCCGAAGCATTGCGCCACGTCGTCCACCCGTGCTAGGATCGAAGCGTCGATTCAGTTTGCGCCACGCTTCAAGTCCTTGAGATTTTCCAGCCGACCTCACCACCTGAAAAGCCTCTTTCTCGCAAAGCGTTTGCAAGATTGCATACAACTGACCAGAGATCTCCTCCACATCCTCAATAGTCTGATGGGTCGGATTCACTGGTCCAAAGGCCGCTTTGATCTCCGTCGCAGTGATCTCGGTGTCGAAATCTTCTGCCCACTCCAACACTGCCTCCATCTTTGGGTGCACGCTGGTGATGAAAGCTTCCATCCTGGTCTTCCAGTACAACCAATTGGACTCTTCTCCAAGAAACCTGTCGGGTTTTGCCAAGCCCCGATTGTCCACCAAGGTCACCTTCTTGTCAGGCCGATCGCGCAACGCCTGAACCAGGTCATTCTGACTCCTTGCAAGCTCCTGGAACGCTGCCCCAACATTGGCTTGAAACGCCGCCTGTTGCTGCTGTGCTTGGGCTTGGGCTTGCTGTTGCTGTCCATTCAAGACCTGATCCAACTGTTGTCTGAGAGCTGCTTCACGCTGCTGTGCATCCGTCTGCCCAGCTGTCAGTTGCTCCACCTGTTGTCTAAGAGTCAACTCACGTTGTTGTGCCTGCTGCATGTTCGCCTGGAGTTGCTGGACCGTGTCGATGAGCTGCTGCGCGGTCATTGCTCCTTGTCCTTGAGTTGCCGCCATTGCTGCAAGTGATGTCCCAAGTTGGCCCAAACACGTCTCAACCTGCGGATCCTTATCACTTTCCTGACAAGTCTCTTCCACCTGTCAGCCACGCTCTGGTCCTCCACGACCCAAAGCCTGGACGCGCCGATCCAAAGGATCGACAGCAGTCCAATGGCTATCGCGATGATCCACCAGTGGTCAATCGCCACAAGGATCAGTGCAGCTAGCTCAACCAGACGCTCCGCTACCATGCACAAATGTATGAACCCTCAAAGCAGCTGGGGCACCTTTTATCCGTCTTGAGCCAAAACATATCGTTAGGCGGATATAGGTCTACACATGTTATGTAGGAACCCATACCTAAACATATCATGTGTATATTTATATATATAATGACATATATCATATATCAATATGTTTGGGTCAAAACCACTTCAATCGAACCACTGATCCTACCCCCCCGTTGCAACGTTCCAATTCTTTCGAAACAAATACCGTCACATCATGCATGGAACAAGGAGTCGCCTAAGACACAGTGCCCATGGCGAGGCCATGCCGCGGCAATCGCTGGAAGTAGACCAAATCATCCATTTCAACTCATCTCATTATTCATTTTGAAACATTTTTAAGTGGAAACAGTGGTGATTATTTGAGTATTCATTTGTGGCTTGAACATTGCAAAAAAGAAGTGCTTGAAAGCACCAACCAGGTAACCTCGAGGCTTGGTCAAGCTGTGACTGTCTCCGATAGGCCAAGCCATAGCACAACCAACTCTCAGAGACCCTCATGGTCATGGCCGTTGGGTAAAATGCATCTGCCTTGGCGGCATCCAAACTGATCCAAAAGTGTCATGGTCGAAAAATTCTACATGGTGTAATATGGCATATGGGTGGTCATCCATCCCATATTTCGAATCCATATCATATATATATATAGCTACATCCAATATTTCGAATCCCATATGAACTATATTCATTATATATATATATACATATACGTATAGTTACTGGGTATATTTTTATCCCTGTGAGTTTTTCATACCATCCGAAGAACGGAGAAACTGTCTCCACTGACATCCATCATCCCAGGGGACAGAGCTGGGTCCCAGCTGGCGAGACTTTATCCCGGAAATTTCTGGGATAAAAATTATGGCATGAAAATTATGTTTTTCCCGAGAGCGTCTGAGCGCAGGGTTCTTCCAATAGTGGAGGTCTGTATCTCATCTTCTCATCTTCACACCTTCTCATCTTCACATCTTCTCTCACACCTTCACATTCACATCTTCTCTCACACCTTCTCATCTTCACACCTTCTCATCTTCACATCTTCTCTCACACCTTCTCATCTTCAGTTCTTCTCTCACACCTTCTCATCTTCACACCTTCTCATCTTCACATCTTCTCTCACACCTTCTCATCTTCACATCTTCTCTCACGCCTTCTCATCTTCACATCTTCTCTCCCACCTTCTCATCTTCACATCTTCTCTCCACCTTCTCATCTTCACATCTTCTCTCACACCTTCTCATCTTCACATCTTCTCTCACACCTTCTCATCTTCACATCTTCTCTCACACCTTCTCATCTTCACACCCTTCTCTTCACACCTTCTCATCTTCACATCTTCTCTCACACCTTCTCATCTTCACATCTTCTCTCACACCTTCTCATCTTCACACCTTCTCTCACACCTTCTCATCTTCTCTCTTTCTCACTCTCTTTCTCACTCTCTCCTCCTCTCTCTCTCTCTCCTTTCTCTCTCCTTTTTCTCTCTCTCGCCTTCTTTATCTTTCTCTCTTTAGGCCGAGGGTGGTACCGGCGGTGAGTCACGAAACGGCAACCCTTTCGCACGAAATGAGGGTCGATCGGCAAAAACTGAGGTAAAATTGCGATTTGACTTGCCCTGGAGCAACCCTTTCGCACGAAATGAGGGTCGATCGGCAAAAACTGAGGTAAAATTGCGATTTGACTTGTCCCGGAGCAACCCTTTCGCACGAAATGAGGGTCGATCGGCAAAAACTGAGGTAAAATGGCGATTTGACTTGTCCCGGAGCAACCCTTTCGCACGAAATGAGGGTCGATCGGCAAAAACTGAGGTAAAATTGCGATTTTACCTGTGCCGGAGCAACCCTTTCGCACGAAATGATGGTCGATCGGCAAAACCTGAGGTAAAATTGCGATTTTTCGTGTGCCGGAGCAACCCTTTCGCGCGAAATGAGGGTCGATCGGCAAAAACGGAGGTAAAATTGCGATTTTTCGTGTGCTGGAGTAACTTTCTCGCACGCAAAGAGGTTTATGTGTACGAGCGTTTCTGTGTAGAGATGTTTGTGTGTAAAAGTGTTTGTGTGTACAAGTGCATCTGTGTAAAAGTGTTGTGCCTTGCCATCAGCCATGGTACATCTATTGTCACTTCCTCCCAATTGAATCTATGATAACCTTTGGCCTGCAGTGCCAGTAACCCTGGTTCCCCCCAGATCTCTTGTTGTGGGCAGATAGGCCTCTCTCTGGACGGACGGACGTTTCTAAGTAAAGAAAAGCAAAAACTATTTTCTGTTGCTTCTTCAAAGTGATCCCCTTTGAAATGGTCAATTGATCTTTTTTGGTCTTGATCGAGTGGTTTCAAATTGATAGTTGACGAGCTCATTTTGAAGAAGCAAGTAACTAGCTATGTCCTGGAGAAGAACATCGCAGCGATCACCAAGGTCATCACAGATGTGTGAAGAAAAGGGTGAGCAAGGAGTATAGGAGCTTGGCACATGGACTAAGAGATCCATTGGCGAGCCTTGACCAGGGAGAGTTCCTCATCGAGGCGGTGAGGACACAGTGCCAGCTTCCAAACATTCGCATGGCTGAATGACCAATTCCTGGATGCGATCCAACAACATACGAGCCACTACTTCCGTCTGAGCGACTTCGAGGAGGCGATCCAGACTTACTTCTCGCTGGCACGGCGCGCTTGCACGGCGCGGACTCATCGTTTTGCAGCACAGTGCCAGTGGACCCGACCATGCTGAATGGCATGCAACAGCTGCGATGGTCTGCAAGCAGTGATCGCTTCAAGGTTTTGCAGGACAATCTGGGGACGGACAAAAAAGTTTTAGTTAGGCTCGCCATGACATTACATACTTGGTCACGTATTGTGATGTGGTGCATATCATCGAGTCCTAATTAATACCCTTAGGCCTTAGCTTCAGACTTTGATACTGCGTATGTAATTATGGCCTGCTCCTATAATTGTTTGAGGGGATAGGCTGGTTCCCCCACCCTGGCTGGGGGCCAGGTCGGTTCTTTGCCTGACTCAACGCCGTCGTGACAATTGAATTTGAAAATGAAGTGCATCAGCATGAGTCAACCAGAACTGTCTGAGACTTGCTGATGCACGCATCTTTGCTTGAGACATTCAGTTTCACCATAGTGCATCCTGTCTCACCATAGTGCATCGGCGTGGGTCAAGCAGAACGGTCTGAGACTCCATAGAAGAGCAATAAAGCTGCCGATTCCTTTTGCGCATATAGTTGTGCCGGGACATCGCTGAATGTGATCTGTCACAGTCATTAGTCATAGTCCTTGAATGCTTTGCGGGTCCGCATTGTTGGTCTGTGCAGCTAGGTTTGCATCGAGTCAGGGCCCCGGGATGGGATGGATTACCTGGATAAGCTGCTACCACAAAGAAACAAATCGATATATTTTATATTGAGATAGAGCTAGAGATATGATATAGAGATGGATGTATGAGTGTTAATATATAGAGATGGATGTATGAGTGTTAAGATAAGAGTTTCAATTCCAGTCACAGTCAGGAGTCAGGACCCTAAACCCATAAAGAACCAACTTATATCATATTGTAATACTGTGCGTGTCCCAGCCCAGAAACGGTCGCTGCCTGCCAGGTCCGCCCGTTTATACTTTTTTTCAGGAGATGGCAAACCACCTTGGTTGGGGGGCCCCAAAGCACATAGCCCGCATGACATGTTTATACATGCTGGTTTCGAGGCACCACCCCGTCGGATTGCTGAGGTCGCCACGACAACGATGACTTCGCTGTGACTACATGGGCCGGCCTCTGTGTAAAAGCGTCTGTGTGTACAAGTGATTGTGTGTAAAAGCGCTTGTGTTTAAAGCCGTCTGTGTGTAAAAGCGTCTGTGTGTCAAAGTGTTTCTGCGTAAAAGTGTTTGTGTGTAAAAGCTTCTGTGTGTACAAGCGTCTGCGTGTAAAAGCGTCTGTGTGTAAAAGTGTTTGTGTGTAAAAGTGTTTGTGTGTAAAAGTGTTTGTGTGTAAAAGTGCCTGTGTGTAAAGCGTCTATGTGTAAAAGCTTCTGTGTGTCAAAGCGTTTGTGTGTAAAAGCAGCTCCTGTCTGTAAAAAGGTCTGTGTGTAAAAGTGTCTGTGTGTAAACGTGTCTGTGTGTAAAAGTGTCCGTGTAAAAGCGTCTGTGTGTAAAAACATCTGTGTGTAAAAGCGTCTGTATGTAAAAGCTTCTGTGGGTAAAAGCTTTGTGTGTAATAGCCTCTGTGTAAAAGCTTCTGTGTGTAAAAGCTTCTGCGTGTAAAAGCTTTTGTGTGTAAAAGCGTCTGTGTGTAAAAGTGTTTGCGATGCAAACTATTGTCTTGCACTTCTCACTATTTTGTCTTGCTACTCCTCTTCTCGACTGCCTATAACACATCTTTCATATATTGTTTGTAAAATTGTGTCTCCATACTAACAAGAGAAGACCCTGCTCCTCTACGCTCTCGGGCCATCCGTCGTCTAGTTTCTATTATGATAATTATGAAATGAAAATTTCTGGGATAAAAATTATGGCATTTTCTATCCCAATGGATGTTTCATCATTATAATGATTACCACATGATTATTGGGATAAAATTATGATTATAATTATGGATCCCAATGGCATTGATGATTTTCTGACATCAGCTGAACATGTTGGGATGATGATGTCAGAACATTTTTGGCAATGCCAAATTGCCATCAATAATTGCAGAAAACCCATCATCACCCATGTTTCATTACTGGAGGCTACCTATCCAAGCATCTCAGGGGTGAAATAGATCTGGGTTCATCCTCACTTCGCTTGAGTCAAGAAATCATCACCAAACACAAACATGTGTTGTTTGTCAGCCGATAAATTAGATGTAAATCCTGTGTTTCCATCATTTCTCCTAATTTATCCTATATTTCCCCTAATATGGCACCACTCACATGCACCTTTTCTTGTGAATGACGAACACCATGCATCACATTTCGGCTGCCTCATTTGTTTGGCCACCTCCATATCTCGTGAAACGCACTGCAGGAAATCTGAACTGAAACTTTTTGACATGGCAACCACAATTGTTTCTTTATGTGTAAATCAACCACTAACCATAAATCAACATATGGCAACCACAAGAACTTGACCTGCAGCGACTGCCGATGCTCCTTTTCACATCGCTTGTGAGACGAAACGGATCGCGTTTGGCGCCCCGAAGGCCCTGCCGGTGAGGAAAATGCGAAAAAGGCACTGGTCGGTATGACGACCACCGAAAAAGGGGGAATAGAGTTGATAAATATATGGAATATGATATGTATATAATATATAAATATAATATATATATATACATACAGAGGGGGCGCTCATGGGGGGCAGGTTTCTGCACATGGATGTTTCAATATATTTGGTTTGTAACTATATATATTATAAATAATCATCATCATCATAGCCATAATAATAAATAATAAGAATGATAATCATAATCAAACGCATAATTTAGTAATACTAATAATAATAGGATGCAATAGGTATACTAGGCCCATGGGTCCAAAATGGTCCAAGAGGCAAACATTGACTGCGAAAACTTGGCGGAACTTACATGACCAGAGCAACATAAAGGTTGCATTTATTCATTGCAGAAAAAACATCAACAGAAGCGGATATGCAAAAAACATGCATGTATACTGATTTTAAATGTATAGATACACACAACAACATTCAGGAACAACTTGTTCCTAACAGCAGTGCTTGCTGGGTTAAAAAATCTCCAGCTCTTACCCAAATCCAGTGGTTCATCATCGTTTTCCCCATCGTCCAAAATGCCTCAGCATAGGGAAACAATGATCAGCTGATAATAATAGGATGCCGATTTTCTGAAACACACAACCACATATCGAATCTACAATTCCATGATTCTTTTGCTTTGCCATGATTTTTCCGTGGTTATACAATGTATCCCCATATGTCCCCATAACTTGAAGGCGAATCTCTTCCCTATCTATCTATCTATCTACCTATCTACTGTATCTATCTACTGTATCTATCTACTGTATCTATCTATCTATCTATCGTTCGATCTATCTACCTATCTATCTATCAATCCATCTATCGATCTATCTACCTACCTACTTACCTACCTACCTCTCTGTCGGTCTATATCCCAACATATCCTAAAATATACCAGTCGGACATGGGTGATTTTATACCCCCTCTAGGTGACAAACACCAATCTTCCCAAGCCGCGTTCGCGGCGGCTTCGCACCTAGGAGAAATCCTCCATGGTCATTCCATCGCCACCCGCGCCTAACGATGATTGGTTTTTTCTATAAGGAATCTATGGGAAACCATGATTATCCATGATTATAACTTATGACCAACAAATCCACAAACAAATAGATTTAATGTAACCCCTTCTTTTGGGATTTGTGTAGGTTTTTTGAAGGATCTTATGGGTAATGTACAAAATTTAACTACTCTCTCAGAGGCAAACATATGGAATTTTCCCAACATTTGGGCGAGCAGTACAGGAACATACATATGTATATTACATATATTACTTGTATACATGTGCAAATGTATGCATATGTAATCATGTTACATACACATGTGTGTATGTGTGTATATATATATATATGTATATATATATTATGTACATATACACACATGTATATTTACATATGAATGCACACACATATATATATATATTGATCTTTCATCACCTTCTTGTCTTCTTTCAAGGTCCACGGCTGAATTTGCCAAGTGGCTGCCGGGATTTTGCATATCGGAGGTCCAAAGGGTCAAATTATCCCTCAGCAGCTGCATGATTGCCTCGGCCATGGCGATGGCCACGACTTAGGAATTTTCCACGCTGGTGGTGGTTGAGTTTGACCCATGGATTGCATGTGAAGTTTAAGGTACAGTATCGACACATCTGGCCAGACTTGACTTGTCCACATCTATATAGACATACACACATACATGTGTGTGTATATATATATATATTACATGTATATAATTATATATACATATATATATATTACACTATTTACCAGTAAAATTCATTGTTGAGCCTCCAATTTATTGGTGACCAGGTGAAGTCACAACACACCGTTCTCGTCCCAAGTTGCAGCGCTGTCTTTGTAGCTGTCCTGCCGATCCGACATCGCTCGTCCCAGGATGAACATGTTTTTTAAGGTGAAGCGCCATTTTGAAACTGACCAACATATGGAACCAACCGATTTTTATGTCGAAATCTATGAGCCAATAACTATCCATATATCAATCATGGTCTAAATCGACCAATAACTATATATTTAAAGCCATGATTTAACATCTGGCAAACTGATGTAGATTCATAACTATATTTAAACATTTATATCTGTTAAAAATATATCTCAACCCATTACTTCATAATTGGAAGATGTCGCGAGCGCCTCCCCAAACGAAACGCCATTTCACAGCCTTTCACACATCTGGCAACAGTTTAGAACAGCATGTACTAAAAACATATTGTTGTAAAATCAATGAACATCAAATTTAAATAGATCTGGATAGATACATTTTTCAATCAGCCATGATTTAAATATACATTTTGCAACTCTTTGAATGATGCAAATGATGACATCAGATGTTTTTTTTATGATACACCGAGAATAATCCATTTACCAGTTGGTGGATAGGTTTCCGAAAAACCTATGGGGCCCATGATTTAATCCCCAGTAAACCAGGTAGTATAATCCCCTTTTTCGCAATCAATTGACATTTAACATAGCTATTGAAGCCATGGCCCCAGTCGAAATAGTTGATAAAAACCTAGCTATAAAATGGTGATTTTCCAGAGTTTTTTGTATGTTTACCAGAGGGCAACCAGGGTATTTTGTTCATGGCTCAACAGGCTACCCCAGCCACGTTCCAACGAATCACCCGTCACCTCGTCCAGGCTATCCATGACGGCCATTGCGTCATCGAAGGCCGCCTTCGACAGAAGACAGGCCTTCTCCTAGGTGCGCTCGGCAAGGCGCCAAGGAAGGATGGGGTTTTCATCATTTTCTCGTGATTTTCTAGTGATTTCAGGGTGATTTAATGGTGATTTAATGGTGATTTAATGGTGATTAATGGTGATTTAATGGTGATTGATGGTAATTTAATGGTGATTGATGGTGATTTAATGCTGATTTAATGGCGATTAATGGCGATTAATGGTGATTTAATGGTGATTGATGGTGATTTAATTGATTGCTATTTTGTTTTGGAGGCCAATCAATGTTAATCAGCCATTTTTTCAGACAAAGTCATGTTAATATACATGTACAAATCATGTAGTCAGCCTAATATAAAACAGTGCATATAGTATATAGATTTACACAGGATATCACAGAATATGTATGTTGTGGCTGTGGACCTACCTCACCCAGTTATAGTCTTTTTAATTTCCATTTGGCGGTGGTTGTTGAGTCACCCTATAAAACTGACCCTGATTTTGGAACGAAGTAGGCAACTGACAAAAATGGGGGTCATCAATGATCTGGACAAATGGCGGTTTCCTAAAATTTTAAGGGCACCCCTAAATCATCCAATTTAGATTGGGATTTTCCATGGAATAAACCATCCAGCTATTGGGGTATCCCCATGACTATCATTACTTGGCTGAGGATGATTCCCCCAATCCCATTCCCATCTGTCGTGCCGCACGACGAAGCAAGGAAAAGCAACATGATTCAATATGATTCATCTGCAACATTTATCCATATATATATATATCCATAAATGAGGGTAATCTATCTATCTATCTATCTATCTGTAATTATATATATATACACCCTCTGGTTATTTAACATAGCCATGGAAAGATCCAACCATTTTTTATAGGTAAACCATCTATAAATGGGCCATTTCCCGTGGCTATGTTAAATAACCAGAGGGTATATATTTCCATAGTCATGGGGGTATCTCATAATGGTAGGTTAAAAAAATAGAACATCCCATTTTTTAATGGACGATTGGTATCGGGTATCCCTATTTCAGGAAACCATCCAGACAAATCCCATTATTTCCATGATATCTCATCTTCACCAGCATCTTCCGTATCTTCCTTTACATCCTAATTATGCATCCCCATCATAACCCAACAATCGAACCCTCGCCGTGAAGGGGCTGCAAACAGCTGCGGCGACCCACCAAAGGCTGCTAAGAGACTGGAGAAGAGAAGACCTCGTAGTAAAACACCGAGAAATTCAGCGCAAGGCCTTGGGTTTTTGCTAGGAGGCAGCCCCTTCACTTGGACAATCTGTATATCAACCAATGAATGGGAAAAGTTACTGCCCATCTCTAAACATAGGTCTGAACATAGGGTACCACTCCTGTGGAATCGCATCCATTTTCCCATCTGGTGTCCATAAAAAAACCTGGCAGTTTTTCATCTCTTTTAGAAACATCCAAAACACAGCGTCATCCAATTTTGGATCGTTAAAATCATGATGAGCTCTGCTGATTTCCACCTACTTTCTGGCAAATAAACATGGCTTTCTGAAGAACTCTTCATTTAGTTAGATGATTGTCCGACTTAACATGGCAAATTTCTAGTGGATTTTCTAAAATTGCCAGAGGGTTATCGTATGGTTCGTTATATATCAATATTTCCCATTTTATCTTATTTTGGTTGATGATAAATCCGGACTAACTCTCCAACCAATCCATTTTCACATATGATTATCACCATGTGATTATGAAAATCACAACTTTTAATGGGTAAATCAACTATTTCTATGGCCATTTTCAATAGCAAACTGTTAGTTTACCAGAGGGTAATAACCATCAAAGTTGTTGTATATTACATTTCATCCCACATACATTCCCATTATTCATGGGCCCAAATCCCTCCGTTTCTGTTGGTAAATCATTTTTTTTCCATATAAAAACAAGGTATGGGATATGATTATACTTAGTTGGGTACATATATCAATGGATTGGTTTAAGGGAAATCTACAGGAAACCATGGTTTTTACCATCACATATAGGGGTTTCCGGTAAATTTTCCCATCATCCAATTCTATGAATATACCATAAATTTCCGACAACATAATATGTGCCATGTTCCAAACATGGTATGGGAGTTATGGTCATCCATCCGAAAAATGGGGAAGTGTCTCGAAGCTTGAAAACATCTCTCGATGGCTCAAGGCCACCTAATATGGTTGGATAACTCTTGGATTAATGGTTGGGGTTATATGGTTATATGTCCATGTGATGGTTAATTGTATGGTTAATTCTATGGTTATATTGATTAATGAATGTTGAATTGATGGCTATATTTCAATGTTTTTTCCCGTTGGATTAATGATTCACCAGTGGTTAACATTCCAACCATATGTCATATGGAGGTTTCCTGAGATGGGGATACGCGGTACCCCAGAATGGATGGTTTACAATGGAAATCCTGTTGAATTATTAGCATTGATGATTTTGGGAAACACATATTTTAATACGTTTAATAAAATATATCACATTTAATGGTTGGCTTATTCAAATATCAATTCACCATAAACTATGGTCAAATAATCAATTTACCAATTTTCCATAAAACCCATCTCAAACTCATCCCAAACCATGATACTCTGACATCCTATCATTGGCCCAAAGCCAAATGGCTGGATAATATTGGACTATTGCAAATAACTAATCGCATCCCAATTAAATTCCAAGCATATGAATCATCAATTCACCCAAAAACCAGTATATCCAGTATCAAATCAAATTATCGTAATTTACCATAGTTAATACCATAATTAATACATATAGATCCTTTTTTCATCATTCAAAACCCACCCAACCCATCCAACCCAAGCGACCCAAGCGCACGGGATGCGTCGCCGGCAGCTCCGAGATCGCGGTCTCGGAGGCGCTTTGGTACGCGTCGTGCGCCTGCGTCGTGGGAAAATCGACCGGAAACCATGGGATTTATAGTGATTTCATGGGATTTTATAGCAATTTTACTAGCCTCTGGTTATGTCAATACATAGCGACATAGAAGCCATGGCCCCAGTCGAAATAGTGTATTTACCTAGCTATAAGATGGTGATTTTCCACTTCGCTATGTAAACGTTTACCAGAGGGTATCCGGTAAGCCTTAAACCATAATTAGTGGCTTACAACTGGTGATTTATCGCTATGATTCTTGAGAATTGCTCGGAGAAGTGCTAGCCACTATTGGGAACGTTGAGAGAGGCATCTTGGAATATCCCTAGAATAACCTAAAATGCGAAACGTGAAATTCATGCCTCTTTGGTGAACACACACACATATATATATATATATACACAGTATAAAATATAGAATTTGATCTCCATTTATAGCCATTTATAGCAAAAGATGAAAGTCCTCCACTGTTGAAACGTTTCAACGTGTGAAACTTGGGTAACAAACTCGTGAAACTTGACCACCAATGCCACGGCGATGAAAGTACTAGAGGAGAGCACCTATCCAAGGTTTCCCATGAATTCATCGCCAACAAGACACCCCCCAAAACAGCCTCTTGCGCACATTTGCTGTGGTTCTCGCCCGTGGCAAATTCCGAGAGGTAGCGATGGTAGTCTCCTACAAGTCTCTGGGCTGTTCAGTTTGGACCCACAACCAGTTTCCAGTAAACATGGTAATCTTTCACTAGCCAGGCTTGTTACAGAATCAAGAAAGAATGGAACGTGATATGGGTCAGGGACTCAAATACACACCTCAAAGTGCTAAAAATTGTGCTGTCGTTTACCCCCATGTAGCCGTAGCCTCTCGAAGCTCAAACTTGGGGTATCAATCGACCCGTAAAGTGTTGGCTATTCTTATGAGAATACACAATCCAAAAAATTGATAAAACTTCGACCATAGCCATGTTGATTTGTTGCATCCCCCACACTATCTAGATCCAAGCGATATACATACTTACCACCTGCTTCAACCGTTGGTCTCAGCCAAAGAAATGCCAATTAACATACAAATCTACGATGGTGGATATTTCCTTGGCAACAAACAACAAGCCATGCCTAGGCAAAACACAGATTCATCAACTAATCTTTCCCTGATGGTACAACATCTCACCCATCCCACTTAGTAGGGAGGTAGTTTTAACAAATGATCCAGTTATATGAATATATGTATATATATATATATCAATTCACAATTCAGGCTTTTGGCACTTATGTCATCCAAATCGTCATCCGCCTTGTCATCCACTGCCTTTCCTTATCTATTTATCTTTCCTTTCATGGCATCCCAGCCCAGCCATCCCCAGCCCATCTCTCCTTTCATCTTCAAATAGAAGACCTTGGACTCGCTGCTGCCAGCCTTCGGTATGAGTTCCTCGAAGAGGATCTTCAGCACCTGCACATTTTTGATCACAACGAGGATCAAGGGATGATGGGAATATATTAATGTATATTGACATACTGATATACCCTATACCACCTACATGATTGATGATTGATGATTGATGATTGATGATTGATGATTGATGATGATGATGATGATGATGATGATGTGCAGTTGTCCAAAGATCAAGGGAATCTGACCAGAATTCAGTGGTTGATCATGGTATTTATCATGGCATTTATCATGGCATTTATCATGGTGTATCATGATTTCCCCAGTATTTCACAGCAGTTTCAGGCTTTACCCATGGCTTCAAAAATCCGACATCGCCGCCTCCCGGCACTTGCCGCTTAACTCTGATTCTACCTGGGCTGCTGGAGGTGCACTAATTTTTACCACAATTTTTTGGGACTACGATGGAATACATTTAAGCAATCCTAATATTCCATGATTAATGGTACCTATGGTAAACATGGATATATTGGGATATAGAATTGCAGTTATACCCATGTACCATGTAAACAATACCTGTAAATAAGCCAATATACCTAATATTCTTCAGGATATGTGGATGGGATATAGAATTGCAGGTCTTACTGACATGGGATGGGTGAGACAAAACCCTGCTATTCGATCATCCCGAGGGTTATGATTCATCCGTATGTGTTTATGGCAATTTTGGTGTATACAAATGTTTTGGACACAGAATCATTCCAGTTCCAGAATCTAACGTGGCGGAAATCGACACTTGATAGACTTGATAGAGGATTTTCAGATACTTTCCGATTGAACATGGGTATTCCCCGAATTGCGAGGTCACTCTCCGGTGGAAACCCTTTCCATGAGTTTGCTTCTCTTAGATACCACAAATTGGACCAAGACGAGCAAACCCCTGAGTAGTTGTCGACTTCCATCCCAACCTATCTAGCCACTCTCAAGAACAAAGACAAATATTAGTTGTGTCCCTATATTTTGTTGATGAGCCCCCCATATTTTTTCCGCTCGTTCCACACTTGTGGCTTGATGTTCTTTCAGAAATTTGTGACAAAATTCCAATTTTTGCTCCAAAAAAAACAAAAGCTTCATTTTTGTGGCCTCCCCATTATTGTTAAGTTCCACCCCCGCAACTAGGCTTCAGCTCCAGCCCTCCATCCAATCCAACTCCCATACACCGCCTTCCACGGATTCTTTGGATGCAAGCGTAATCATGGAATCATTTACCCTCTAGTAAACTCACATAACTATATGGAAAGATCCACCATGCTATTAATGGGTAAGTCAACTAAAAATAGCCCTTTTCAATAGCTATGTTAGTTTACCAGAGGGCACATAATTCTGCATCCAACTTTAGCTTTACCTCTGATAAACAAGATCACTAGGCAGCACTAGGCGGTGAATTTAAACTTCCTAGTAGGTGCCACCATAGTGCGCAATGCCACAATGCGGAGAGTGCGGGCCGGGTCCAAGCTATTGGTGATCCACCCATTATCACCATGCTATTAATAGGTTCTATAAATGGTGGATCTTTCCATGGCTATGTTAGTCATAACCAAATGGTATATATATATATGTCTAGTTATTAGCCTGAATATTCGTTACATATCAATACTTCATAATAATCATAATATGTCCCCATGATACCTCAAATCAACAGATTTCCATAACATATCATAACATGCTAAAGTCTCTCCATTCAACATTCGCATTCAAGATTCCCATAGATTCCTAAAGGATTCCCGTTATATCCCCATATATCTCCCATCATTAGTTCTTAATATGTCCGCATTGTATCCCCATTAAACAGCTATATTCTAAACTACCCCAATATTGGGGTATGACTATTCCATCTTATCCCCATGTATTCCCATATATTCCCATATATTCCCATATATTCCCATATATTCCCATATATCGGCATCCCGTTTTATCCCCATATGTTCCCAATAATTCCCCATTATATCTCATTATTCATATCCTATCTCTGTTTTTGGCAAGAAAATACAAGGTGGTGCCCCCTAGTCAGAAGTAGGATCCCATTCATGTGGGTAAAACAATGCCATAAACCATCCCCCAAATCCCCATAAGTATGTGGTATGGTTACCATTCCAAGTCATGGGCGGTTTTATGGCATGGTTTTTCCCACATTATAACCATTCAATAACCATATATATATATACACATACACATAACCATTCAATTTCCATTAAATCACCATTTTTTTAATACCATTTTTTTCAACCATATCCCCCTTGGTTATAGAATGAATTCTCCCATCAACCAAAAACTCATGAAATTCTCCCGCCCTCGGCGTTCGTTTATGGTCGCGCCTTTTCCCGATATCTCTGCACCAAATCCAAGATGGCGGCGCCCTTGGAGGCGGCGGCTTCCCGCTTCTCCAACGTGTTCACCTGAGTGACTTCCAAGTGACTTTGGTGACAGTTTAGGTGGGGGTTTTCCACTCCAAGCTGTTCAAAGAGAAATAAATTTAGAGGGAAAACCATGAGATTTTTGGTTGAACTTGGTTGAACTTAGATGGTTTTAGTTGAATTTAGATATGACATAACTGATGGATTTAGATGGTTTTGGATGGTGTTTTTCAACTGGAGAAAGGATGAGTTTTTTTTCGCATCAATGGATGAGTTTAGATGGTTTTCTTTCATGGGATGTAATGAAACTGATCAGTTTTCAAGAACAATACCCTCTAGTTATTTAACATAGCTATGGAACATGGTCTATTTATAGATGATTTTCCCATTAAAACCTCCATTTATAAGGGATTTTCCATGGCTATGTTAAATAACCAGAGGGTATACTGAAATAATGCTGGCAACCTCCTGCAATCACACATGGCTAGCTGAACGACTTTATCGCCATGTTTGATGAAACCAAAGGGTAGCTGGTTTTGGATTTTAGATTTTTCTGTATCCCTGTATTCTCCCTGAAGATTCTTGTTGGCTGTAATCAGCCATATGTAGATGGTCTATATACGGAGGTTTCCTAACGGCTGGGCTCGTACCCTAGTTCTCATCCATTTATAGATCGGATGTTCCATAAACCAAGCAGCTATTGGGGATCCCGCAAAAAACTATGGACACCCCCACTTGGCTGAAGGGATATATGTATATATATATATATACATAATATATATATATATATCATTAAACGCTATGAATCACTATTAACCACTATTAACCACTATTAACCATACATTAACCACTACTAACCATCATTAACCATTCTTAAACCTGACCGTTTTCCAAAGCCGTCGTTTAACCGTCTTTGGCCGTGCTGGTACCTAATGGGATGATCCTGTTGCACAGGATCAGAGATACCTGCGGCCTAGATTGACAAGCAATGAATGTGATACCGGGCCTGGGGAGTACCATTGGGTTTAAAAAAAATGGGTTTTAATGAGATTTTTCATTGGATTTTATGGTGGGGATCTGATGGGATTTACCCTTTGGTTATTTAACGTAGCGAACTGGAAAATCGCCATTTTGGATAGGTACATCATCATTGAAATCCTCTATAAATGGTCCATTTTCCATAGCTATGTTAAATAACCAGAGGGTAATTCTCAAGAAAACAACTTGGAATCAATTACTATAACAAATATGAATACCTTGGGATATGAATAATCAAAACTTGCAATGTGAATAATGCATAATTCAATGGTATGATTGCAATCTGTTCAATCTGGTGAAAACATATACCAGTACATTCCGATCATATTCCCACCGTTTTTGCTGGTTAGTTCAACCAAATGTCTTTGTGAAATCCATATCAAGACATTATGCTGGCTCAAAATCTACCAAATAGATATCATCCCATTTAAATAAAGAAGGGTCTCAATCGCAATCACATCTCATGTTTCTATTATCATCGCCATGATCATCATGGCCATCATGATCCTCACCATCATCATTATCATCATTATCAGCATCATCATCACCATCATTATCGTTGCTATTTACTATTATTTATCACGATTTTGTATCAATCAATCATTATTCACTATTATTTTGCATTGTGTCATTAACTATCATCATATTTTTCTTATCATTATCTATCAAAATCTATTGTTATATATCCGTTTATATTACAATCAATTATCCATTATTTTCGCTGGTTGACTGCTACTCCATAATTTTCTATTATCTGCTACTGTCCATAATCTATTATCTACCATCTACCATCACAATCTATTATGTGAACAAATTGATCCTTGTTCTGGATTATCCCTTTTGTCTGTAGTACCAGTAATGCTGATAGCGCCGGGCGATCTCAGTGCATGGCATGCGGACAGCGTTCTTATTTTCCTCGCGCAGGACTTGAGCCAATATCATTGGCGGTCCATGCATGACTGTACACATGTTCATCATGTGCAGCTACACTGTTACCTCGTTCCCCTTCGCACCCCCCATGCCTATGGCATCTTCGAACCATAGGCACGAGAGTGGGAACTTTGAATTAGATTCTTCTGCTCCTCGAATTACGCCTATGTACATAAAACATGCCATTCGGCTCCCCCTTCCCCACATACCCGTCGGGAATAATGGTTCAGGGTTCGCCTACTCCTTGGCTGTCGATGCATCGACGCTTCATCAAGCTGTACAACGCGAATTATTGCTAGCTAACATCTACTTTTCTACGTTGGCTAAGCATGCCACTCACCCGTCGGGAGAAATGGATCGCCTCGCTACCAAAGATTTACAATGCTAACTAACGAATTCACGTGCACAATGCAGAATCTCGTGCAGATTGGGAATATCAAAAGTCTTGAACCTAAGCGAATTAGTCTAATGCCTCGCTCAGTGTCCACTCAGTTGGTCTTTTCCTGATCATCTGTTCATAAAGACGGTAAACATCTTGTAGCCCAGTGATCATTTTGACGGATCGAAGCAATTGGTTTACTGCTCACGGCGGGCTTTCTTCCATTGAGGTGCTGTTGGAGTTCTCTCCCATCCTGCCGCACGTTTCGGAGCAGCTTTCGGCGATGAAGGCTTTGCAGGCGGTGCCTTTGATGGTTCATGGGATTTCGGCATAGCCTTGCCCTTTGGTGCGCTAGCCGATGAGGATGATGCTGAACCAGTGCCTTCAGGTGTCTGTGAAGGTTGTGCGGGTGGTTTAGCAAACTTGGAAGCTGCAGTATGTCCAACCGCTTTGAATAGTTCACTCACCACTTCGTCGCCAAGGGTTGGAGCCATCTTCGTTTTCATCTCGGTCTTTCCCCTCTGCGCCTCGGCCTCGGCCAGCTGAATAGCATAAGCCATCTTGCTGACAAAGTTTTGAGGTAAAGGAATGCCACATTGTTGGGCGGCAAAGAGCAGTTCTACTCTCTGTTCTTTCTCCCTCAGGCTCAGATATACCGAGAAAGCTGGGAGTTCGATGCAGTTGGGGAAGCCGTGGCTCCCGGAGCGAAAGAAGGTGTATGACTCGTGCTCCGGAAAGGTTCCTTTGAGCAGTCGTCGAAGGAAATTGCTGATGGTTACTCGCATCTCCTGTTTCCCTTGGGCATCAGCCTGCATTCGGTTCATTGGCATGAGAAAGCCTAATGACTCAGGAGTGTACCCGGCGCGTACCAGAAATTCCATCATCTTCTCATAGATCTCTAAAGTCTTGATGACAGGCATCATCATGTTTCTTGGTCGCCCTGAGTATAACTTCTCTCCTTCTGACCATGAATTCCTCTTCCCTTTCTCCTGAAAGAGTTCATCCAACTCCAGCTCCGTCGGGCGCTTGAGGTTGCCATCCTGGTCTTCTCCTGTATAAGGACAGAAGTCGTCCAGGTCCAGCCGGACTCGCTTGGTTTCCGTCATCATCTCATAGTACTCCTCTGGGGTCAGAGTGACTCTCTGTTTGTAGTAGAGCCTGAACATTGTGATGATCTTTGACATGACGGCATTGTCATACAAGTGAGCCGCGGCCTCGGAGACATCATTGTTGATAAGTCCGTCTTCTGGCATACCCTTGCTGCCGCTCTCAAGGTTCTTGGTCCATGCTGGAAGTTTGGAAGAGGATTCATCTTCAGGTTCGACTTCCATTTCATCGTCGTCTTCTTCAACGATTTCGTCGTCTTCCTGTTGGGCTTCCTCCTCCTGATCCATTTCCTCATCATCGCCTTCGTTGTAGTCGACCTCGTCGGGATTGAAGCCATAGTCGTTGGATTCGGATACGTTTTCTTGTGCTTGATGGACCGTATCCTTGAACAACGATTCTTCTTGTCGACGAACTTCTTCATCGATCTCTTTCTTCGTGGCCTCATCTTCATCGTCTTCAGGAGCTTGTAGCCGATAGGGACGGATTCCACAACTTTCAAGTTCCGTCCAGCAAACTAGACACACTGCTAGTTTTGTCGGCGTCTCATTGAGACAGTGAGGACAATGGCGGCAACCTGATGTTTGCACCCTTTTGCGTTCGACTATGTAGTCAATCAGCTTGATGCGGGCCAGGTATTGCTCTTGTCCGCCAGGCTCGATGAGGTTGTTCTTGAATTGGTTGACGATGTTCATGGCATCCATGGCGGTTTCGTCAAACGGTTGATCTTCGGCGTCGATGCACTGACTTGCAACCCTCAAGATGGACTCCTTGGTGGCTACCGTTCTTGATTTGATAGTTCCAGACCGGACTACCTGGTCGTCGCCCGACGGGACGAACAACCGGAGCCATGTCTTATTGTTTTGGTCCTTTGGGTCCTGAATCCATCCTCCCTTGATTGCCGAGAACGGGATGATCTTTGGTGAGACGATCTGTCCCGAGTCAGTCAGTCGACCGCCATATTCCACCATCAAGGTCTCGGTCGGGATGAACAAGCAAATGTAGTCCCCCTTTCGCGTATCAACGCTCTTCGTGATGGTCCATGATCTGTGATCCCATGGCACATACGGGTTGAAGAACGTGAACATCCGATGACCTTCTCCAAGACCTCCTGGAATTAATCCCTGCCTCCAAATGCTTCGAAGGTTGGTCTTCTTGGTGATGTGGAAACAAACCGGTAACGACAAAATAGTGTTGGGCGCGATTGGATGTGAAAGTAATGAGGACAGCAATGAGACGTCGTCCCTTGAAGATCCTTCTTTGTGCCCCGTAGGAGCACGGACCGCCACAGGGTAGAGCAGTAGACCTTCATCAGGAATGTTCGTGTCCGCATCGACTTTGTTGTCAATGCACGTCAGGCTGGTGCGCTCAATGTCCTTGTTGATACCAAATGCCAAGACTTGTTCACGAACGCGACGTCCATACCGGGCACAGTGGAACATGATCTTGAAGAGCAATGTCATGCGGTAGTTTGCCTCATCGACATTCCATGCATTCTGATCATTTGCTCTTCCTTTTGGAGCAAGGAATACATGTGGCCAGCGTGCGTACTCGTGCCTCCAGATTGACTCACATTTGAGCACCTCCTCGA